AAATATAATTAGAACTGAGGAACTTTTAATTATATTATTCACATGTTATAGATTTAATGGTGTGGTATCTTCCAAATCAAATTCACTCTAAAGTTGACCCTAATATTGACTACTTTATTAAAGAATAAATGGTTAAATGAAATCATGATTATGGAAACCTAGATAGAGTTCATTCTTAAAAATGAACCAACTACATTAGTAGTCATCTGTTATCATTTTGTGCATGCAAAGGAATCCAAGTCAAGGTGCCCATCTGTAAACCAGGAAAGGCCTCACCATCAATCAAGACTTCGGGCAACTGATCTTGAACTAAATGTCTTTGATCCGTAGAAAAATTAATGTATGTTGTTTAAGACATCTAGGATAGGCCATCTTGCAAGATGATCCAATTAACAGATACACAGAATGTTTTGTGTTCTTAATCTTGGATATTCTTTGTGGAACTAGGTGTATGTTTAAGAATATTGTTTTACTTAGTCTTCAACAATTGCATACATGCATATAATATATCTTAATCATTTCAAACTCAAATTCCTCCCCCAATATTCCTAAAATTCCATTACTCCAAATTCTTTCTTCTACCTTAATGTCCTCTTCTATAATAATAAAATTACTAATAATTAAAAAAATAATAATTCATTTGGCTTGGAGAGATGGCTCAATGGTTAGAAGCTCTAGCTGTGCTTTCAGATGACATAGGTTAATTCCTAGCAACCACATAGCAGCTTACAACCATCTATACCTCTAATCTCAGGGTGTCCAAAACCATCTTTTGGTTTCTGTGGACACCAGGCATGCCTGAGGTACAAGGACATGCATTCTGACAAAATAAGCATGCATGTAAATAAAAATTAATAAAAATAAAACAATACACTATGTTGTTAGTGCTGCCTACTTGTATATGGGTGTGGGATTATCCACCATCATATATGACATTTAGTAGTTTCCAAAACCCTGAAGAAACATGACTCTTCCTCCCCTAGTATTTATTAATTACCAATATATATCTGCTCAAGTAGGGGTGTAACCTCATGGGTTCTTCTCCAACCATAGAAGAATGTTGATTGTCTTGATCATGTACTATTATTATACAGGTAACCAAAACTTCTTTGAATTCATGAGTGTAACAGACATGCTCTGTCCTGGAAGCACTATTTCAGTGCACTCTGCCTCATTCTCTGGCTCTGATGTTCTTTCCACCCTCCTTCTGAGATGTTCCCTGAGCCTTGCAGACAGAGCTATAGATCTCTCATTTATGTGACAGAGCACCCAATAGTCATTCATTCTCAGCACTGTGGGAAGTCATGAGGATCCGCACTACAAGCTGACCACTGCAATACGAGATTTCATTGACAGTTGAGAGCAACACATATCTATGGATGTAAACAAGTATTTTGAAGACAGTTTTAAAAAATATGACTATTTAGCAAAATAGTGATAGGTTCCTTCCACTGAACCCTGGGACAACCCCAGCCATGGGCTTTTGACCAAACTTACAGTACCTTAAGTCATGAATTGCCACTTGTAGAGCAGGCTTCCATTGTATCCCTTGATTTCATTCTCTTATTACTTTATGATTTAAAGCATTACTTTGAATAAGAGTGGGAAAAGTGAACAATTTTGTTCCTCATTTTACTAGAAATGCTTTGAATTTTTCTCTATTTAATATAATGTTAGGGAATAAATTTGTCATATTTATCATGTTGGTATATGTTCCTTTTACTGTGTTACTTTACTACTTTTAGCATGAGGGGATTTTTTATTTTGTCAAAATCCTTTTCTGAGTTTATGAAGATGACCATGTGATTTGTCTATTTCTGTCTATTGTGTCTATTTATGTGACACATTGCATTTCTTCATTTATGTGTGTCCCTGCATCTTTGAAATAAAGCCAACTTAATCATGGTAGGTGCTCTTTGAGATATGATCTTGAATTGGTTTGCAAATATATTTTTTGGGAATTTTGATGGTCATCAAGGAGATTAACCCACACTTCTATTTTTTTGTTGCATCTTTACATGCTGTAAGTACTAGAGAAAAAAGTTTAGAAATGTTTCCTTCTTTTGCTATTTTATAGAATACCTTGGAAAATAGATATTAGTTAACTTTCTTGAACATCTGGTAAAATTCATCATGAATCCATCTTTGTCTGGACTTTATTGTTTAGTTGGAAGGTTTTTGTTTTTTGTGTTTTTTTTAACTGCCTCAATCTAATTTAGTGAAATGAATGTTTTAAGGTAAGACTTCATTGGTATTTCATTGGTGTCTTTCACAATGACTCTCTTTTCTGCTGTGGTCTGAACGTGGGTAATGTTGGTGCCGTACTTGTGGATGAGCACTCTGTTTCTCACTGAAGAAGACTGCATTGGAGAAAACGTATTTTTCCTATGTGAGCAGTTATCAATTGGAGATAACTTCTGGGTTAGGGATAGAGGCTTGTGTCCACTTCCAGATTATCTTTTCAAATATATATACAATATATTATAATTATTATATATTGTAATTAATATATATATTAATTATAGTTTATTTACTTTGTATCCCATCTGTAGCTCCCTTCCTCATTCCCTCCCAATCCCACCCTCCCCCATCTCCCTGCCGCTCTCTAAGTCCACTGACCTTAGCTTATCAGGTCTCTTCAGGACTGGCTGCCATGTCCTCCTCTGTGGCCTAGCAAGGCAGCTCCTTCCTCTGGGGTGGGGGGAGTTCAAAGAGCCAGCCATTGAGTTCATGTCAGAAACAGTCCTTGTTCCCCTTATTAGGGAAACCCACTTGGATATTGAGCTGCCATGGGCTATGTCTGAGCAGGGGTTCTAGGTTATATCCAAGCATGGTCTTTGGCTGGAGAAACAGTCTCAGGAAAGACCCCTGCAGTTTATCTTTTCTTATGTTTTATATATAGATGTGTCTAATTAGAGCCATTGTTTCTTTAGGCCTCATCCCTTCCTGTGGTTTTCCTTTTGTGTCTGATTAACTAAATGATCTTGGCGATCCTGGCAGTAGTGTATTGGTAGACTTTCCTAAACACTGCTTGTGGGATCATCCTTCTTTCCCTTACAGAGAGCTGCATTATAAAATATAAGACTGTACATGTTCCTTTACCAGAGAAATTATAAGTTCAATAGAAGTATACCACACACAATCTATGACATGTTGCCTTTGGTAATATAGATGTATACCTATTCTTCCAGGTATTCTTCTTAGCACACAGGAAAAGACTAATGAAGGAACATCAAGTATAGATGCATCACTTTTGCCCAGGGCACTTTGATATTTTCAAGCATTAATTATAAGCCTACTCTCTCTGTGTCTGTCTTTTTGTTGGAAATAGTAGGGACTGCTATGATTTCTCTCTTTCTTATAGAAAGAGACAGAAACACTGTCTTAACAGAGGTTGTGAATCCAAGTGGGTAGCACTTTATTTATTGATATGTAATATATCTGGTAGAAAATAAAATAACTTGGAATAAAAACATTTGCTTTTTTGTTTGTTTGTTTTTGTTTTTTTTTTTAGATAAACTGTATGTAGCTCTGGTTAGCCTGGATCTCACTGTATAGACAAAACTGACTCTTGCCTTTGCCTTGTCAGTCTGAGGTTACAGATATATGTTGGCCCACTTAGCTTTGGATTCTGAAATCTTTGTTTTTAAAAGAAAAAGGGATGGTCCCAACATTTGCCAAGATGGCCAAAAACCACCTTTGGATCTTTGGATTCTTTTGTTTAGTTTACTTGTTTTTCAAGAATTACCAACCATCCACCATCTGCCTGCTGAGCAAGTCCAACATGTCTCCTATGGCATGTGTTGCAGGCGAATGGCACCCTCAGTTATATAGTCTACAACTTCATGATTATTAGTGCTGATTGCCATCATGGATTGAAATCTAGGAACTTCCAGCAAGTTTTACTTGATTTCTCATTCTTCTCACACTGGGGAGTTTGTGTCTCTGAGCCAGTTTTTCCTTATGTTTGACGATCTCATAATCCAGGATATTGTGATTATATTTATAGCCCTGTGATTTTGTCTCCCTTCCTTTCTGGGACTGTTCTTCCTCCCACATATTAGCCCCAGTGGCTACACTATTAGACACCTCCTTTATCCATAATAGATAGCTGAGGGCCCAATGCAACAGCTGCATAAGTAGATAGCAGCATCTCATGGCTCTTTTCCCCACCTTTGGTCATTTACATTCTTTCTGTCTTTATTGTGATATGAATGTCAAATTTAAGACTTAAGGGGTCATCATTCACTCTCAGAACTTTGCTCAGATCTACTCACTGCATTAACTGGCACCCTTTGGAAAAAGGAACTTCTCTGCCACCAGCTGAAAGCTATGCTAGTCTGTCCAGTTGGAGGATAGGCTAAGGTGTTGGAAATGTCTTGAGACATACTTTAAATTTTACTAAGTGTCCTTGGTTGATACTCATAAAGTGTTTTCATAAGGAAATAACAATAGTTAATCAACAGGCTCCATTCTTTTAACAAGATTTCACTGTGTAGTGCAGAACTTGTGATCCTCTTGCCTAAATCTCTCAAGGGTTGGTTTATAGATGTGTGCCCCGACTCCTGGAGGCATACATATACCTAACACTTTAACAATCATTACGCGTCTAGCTGTTCTCTAGCGTTTTGACTACAGAGGACCCCACATCCTTGCCCTAGTCTTCTGTCTCCCACCCCACCTCCCCTCACCCCCACGAGACAAGGTTTCTCTGTGTAGCCTTGGCTGTTCTGGACTCGCTTTGTAGACCAGGCTGGCCTGGAACTCACAGAGATCCGCCTGCCTCCCTGAATGCTGGGATTACAGGCAAGCTCCACCGTGCAGGTAGGTGCCCTGCTGACCTAGTTTTCTTTCTCGTCATGCTCAGGTCCAACCTGAAACCTCCTGGAATAGGCTCCCCACGGGCCACTCAGCCTGAACTACATCTCCCGTCAGTCTTTGCGCCTCCCACCTCCGGCGTGGCGCGAGGCCTGCCGGGAGCGGGCTGGGAGGTGGCGGCTCGACCCAATGGGTGCTGGCTCCCGAGGAGAGGGCGGAGGAGAAGAGGAAGCAAAGCCAGTTGTGGGCCAAGTCCCCATTCATTGCAGTAGCCTGTTGGTTTGGGGTCCTGTGTTTCCAGAGTCATGGAGGCGCTAATCCCGGTCATCAATAAGCTGCAGGACGTCTTCAACACGGTGGGCGCCGACATCATCCAGCTGCCTCAGATCGTCGTGGTGGGAACGCAGGTAAGATGGGGCCAGGATGGCGAGGCCTGGCCTGCCCGGTGGGCCTGCAGGTGTCAGCGGGAGGAGGCCGGCCGCCTGTTTCTCCCTGCTGGCCTCGGGGGCTCAGCGGAGCCGAGCGGCCTTGCAGTCTGCGGCCGGCCGCGGCTTGGCCCAAGGGCACTCGGGGGACGCGCGGGCGGGCGGGCGGCCGGCTGTCGCTTCCTTCCGGCGCCTAAGGACGCGATAGGTTTTGGAGTCGCCGTGGGGCCGAGGGTCAATAAGCTAGTGGCGAGTCGGCTGTCCACGGAGCATTACAAAGTAAAAATACGATTAAAAGAAAAACCCGTGTATAGATGCTGTTCTGAGGTTAGGAAGGAGCATCAAGTTTTTCTTTTACTCCTCCATGACTTTGGTGTTCATAGTTTTGTGACTGTGACCCAAATTTGGCATAAGGTTCTCGGGCCTTTTCATGTTGGGTACATAGATGAGTCAAAATGAAAAAAAAGTGTTGAAGAAACAGATATCTACTAGACTGATCTTGTGAGAGTTTAATTTTTTTTTTTTTTTTAATGTCTGCTTTGGGCAGAAGAGGAATAACAGAATAATATGAATAAATGTTTTCTCTGGTGCTGGTTAGAAGAGGGTATTTGATCACCTGGAACTGGAGTTACAGACGTTGTGAGCTGCCACAACCGGTTGTGGGTGCTGGAGCCCAGATCTTCTGGAAGAGGAGCCTTTGCTCTTAACCTGTGAGCCATCTCCCTAGCCCTTTTATAAACATATTTTTAAGTGTCCCTGTTTGTTAGTAGTATTCTCCTATTCTGAGGTGATGGATGGTTTCTCCATTGTCCTTGGGTTTTGTATGGCTACAACATACTACAGAAAGTGTATAAATATGAGAAGAAATAGATGAGAGACTATCAGAAGATAAGCGTATACTTCAAACCCTCCTGTACTTTATTATTATTTATTTGGGCTTAAAATGTTCAAAGCAATCGAATTATTTGTGGACCATTTGCTTGGTTTCTTAACAGGGTAAGGTAACTTAACAGAAGTTCTGTCAATCATGTCTGCCTATTCTAGTGATGTTGGCAGCTACCAGAGGCTCAGTTATTGAGTATACTTTAAACACCATATACATACATATATAACATTTTGTTCACGAGGGTTATTTAGCAGGTCTCTATAAAGGTTTTTAGTGATGCATATTGCTCATTGTAATGAGGTGTTTATTTTTAAAGTTATTATTTGTTTTTGCTTTATGTAAGTGTTTGCCTGCATGTATGAGTATACATTGCATACTTGCTAATTCCTTTGGAAGCCTTAATGGGCAACTGATCCCCTGGAACTGGTGATATAGATGATTTTGAGCTGCCATGTGTGTGCTGGGAAACTGAACTTGGGTCTTCTGCAAGAGCAACAAGTGTTCTTCACTCCTGAGGCATCCTTTAGCCCCTGAGTTTTAAAACACTGGGACTTTAAAAACTAGTTTTTGTAAATAAAATTAGAAAAGATGACGTAATTAAAAATTTTTCATTCATAACAATTGAGAATTGTTACCTAGTTTTAGAACAGAAACTTTTCAGACTTTTAAGAGATTTCCAAGTGCTTTTTAACCACAATTCAGTAAAAGAATCAGAGATATAGTGAAATCAGTGTAAAGAGTTTAAAATCAAGATGGTTTTTCTTACACACAATAATGTCAGTCAGTACAGAGTTAGTTGAGGGAAGAAGGCAGGCCTTTGAAACTCATTCCAGTAATGATACTTACATGCCGTTTCTGTGTATTAATGTTAGAAATTTTCAAAGGATTGTTTTTTTGTTGTTGGTTTTTGTTTTTTTGTTTTGTTTTGTTTTTTTCCAACTTGACAGGCATTATCACTATCTGATGCATATTGCTCATTGTAATGAATTTTAAAATACAGTGTTGGAAAAACAGAATAATTTGGGGAGTCTGAGTCTTTTTTTTCCCCCTCCTTCGAGGCAGCGTTTCTCTTGTGTAGCCTTGGCTCTTTGGCTGTCCTGGACTTGCTTGTAGTCTAGGGTGGCCTTGAACTCAAAGAGATCTGCCTGCTTCTGCCTCCCAAGTGCTGGGAATACAGGCATGTGCCAACATGTGTAGTACCTGGGTGGTATTCTTAGCAGCACACTGTGTCTTGATTTCTTATGTTGTGCACATACTTCCCTGGGGTCAGGAGTTAAAGGAGTTAGGGAGAAAGAATTGTGTTTAAAGGTACCAGTCATTTATTTTTTTATTACTTAGCTAATGCTTTCTGATTTCTGAGATGGTCTGCAAGGAAAGAAAAGAAAATGGGGAAGAGAAGGTTGATACTTTTAGACCATATTGTACTTTGCAGGTGGAGAAGATGATGAAATTTAACACAACTTTTGTGATTCAATTTGGGAAAATTAATCACTATTTTTTAAGTTGAGAATCAGAAAGGGCAGCCCTGTAGGTATATAATCTAAACCTCCGTCATCCAGTGCTGGCATCAGAGTGCAGATAACATAAACCTGAGGCTATGGCTTAGTGTAGCTTATGATGCCATTTTTCTTTGCCCTTTATTTCAGTAATTTCAGCACTTCTTCAATGATTAGGACAAATGTAACATTAATTTAGCAATCACTTTGTAAACTAACTTTAAAAAGTTTAACATTTAGAAAGTTGAAATACTTATACACCATAAAAGTTATAGTGAAGTACACCATTTGGTGATTTTTAGTATAGATGCAGAGTGGTGAAATTATCACTAGTGTTTTATTCCATAACTTTGTTGTTCTGGCTAGTGTTTTGACATAAGATAAAGTCATTCAGGAAGAGAGAACCACAATTGAGGTTTTTTTCATGATTGAGAAAATGCTGTTAATAGATTGGTGAGTCTGTGGGTCGTTTTCTTGATTAAATAATTTATGTGGGAAGTTTCAGCCCATTGTAAGTACCACTCCTGGGCAGGTGGTTCTGTGTTCTATAAAGAGGGCTAAGTGAGCTCTGGTGAGCAAGCCAGTAAGCAGTTTTCCTTCATGGTTTCTACTTCAGTTCCTTCTTCTAGGATCCTGCTTTGAGTTCCTGCCCTGACTTCTCTTCATGATAGACTATGACCTATTCAATGAAATAAGCTCTTTCCTCCCCAAGTTGCTTTTGGTCATTGTGTTTTTTTCACAGCAGAAGAAAGCATGCTATAACCTTTGTACCTTTGTATTACCCCATAAAGAAAGCCTTTTTCCCCCACCTTGAGACAGGGTTTCTCTGTGTAGCCCTGGCTGTCCCATTAAGGATGAAAACCTTTACCCATTAAGGATTCACTCTTTTATTTTACCTTCCCCTAAGTCCTGATAAGCACAATCTAATTTTCATGTATAGTTTGCCTTGAGTATATATTTCATGTAAATAGAGTCCTATAATATGGTCTTTCATGTGGTATCTTTTACTCAGCATGCCTGTTGTGCTACGTATTAGTGTAACTAGAGTATTTTTACTGCAAAAGTGCTCCAGTATCTAAAACTTATAGCACTGGCATGATGCCACAGTATAAAATTCCATATGACAAATAGTGTGGTCAATACATAGATACAAGTTGGAGAAATGACTCAGTGCTTGTTGGTTTTGCACATCACGTATTTATCAGCTGCCTATAACTCCAATTCTAGAGGATCCAGCATCCTCTTTCTGGCTTCAGTGCATATACCTGCACATGTGTGGCATCACTCATACACATACACAGTATACACCTAAATACACATAAACCTTTTAAAAACACAGGCACATTAAGATATTGATAAACACGAAGCATAAATGAACTGTGTTTAGATTTGGATCATTATACACATGCAAATATTCTAGAATTCTAAGAATCGCAAATCAGAAATGCTTTCATTTTTGACCCAAGCATTTCAGGGAAAAGATATTCAACCTGTGTTTCTTCCTTTCTCCCCCTGTCCCTCTTCTCCTTTTTGGTTGAATAATACTCTGTTTTGTAGGTTTGGTATAGTGTGATTATTCACTTAGCATAATTCATAAGTGAATTCATAAGCCTTTTAGGATTTATCCATATTGGGGTACCTACTACTGTAGGTTGAATATTCTTGATAGACATTGGTTGTTACTATGTTTTTGCTTATATAAATAATGTTGCTGCAAATATTTATTTGCCAATTTTTGTGTTGTTTATGTTGTTTTGCTTCATTTGCTTTGTGGTTTTGAGACAAGGTGTTTTTAGCTCAGGCTGTCCTGGAACTTTATGGTAATGTATCTACCTCTGACTCCTAAGTTTGGTATTACTGGGGTATTTTGCCTTACTTTGTTTAAATTAATCATTTAAAGAGACAATTCAGTGTCATTTAGCACATTCTTAATACAAATTTGCCACCTCTGCCTCCAAAACATTGTATTACAAAAGAAAACTCTAGTCCTTAGTCGCTCCCCATTTCTCTTTATGCACATGTTGGTCTGCTTTATTCTCTAAATTTACTTATTCTGGATATTGTATGGGAGTAGAATACAGTGCATGATAATTTATATCTGGCTTCTTTCGCTTTGCATAGTTTTTTATGTTGTGGTATGTACCAGTATTTCATTCCTTTTAAAGGTTGAGTGGTGTGTGTGTGTGTGTATATGTGTGTGTGTGTGTGTGTGTGTGTGTGTGTGTGTGTGTATATATATATATGTATATATATATATGTATATATATATATATGACATTTTGTTTATTCTTCATCCCTGATAGGCTTTTGGATTGTGTCTGCTACTCTAAATAGTGTTGCTCTCACCATTTAGGTGTATTTTTGAGGGCCAGTTCTTAATTCTTTGTATATAGCTAGGATTGAAATTGTAGGGCCATAAAACTTATATAGTGGCTGCACCATTTAAAAATTGCCACGGGAGAGTGGGATTGGGAGGAGCTAAGGGAGGGGCTACAGCTGAGATACATAGTGAATAAACTGTAATTAATAAAAATAATAAAATAATTTTAAAAATTGCCACTAGCAGTATAGGATTACAGTTTTTCTATCCTCATCAGTAT